TCACACAGTAGCCAAAACCCAGCTGCCATCAGGAGGTCCACCAGCAGGGCCAGAACTCCGAGCACCAAGAATACAGATTATCACTGCCCCAGTCATAAGAACGCAAGAGAAGCCATGTTGAATTAGGCCAATGGCCCATCCAGTCCAACACTCTGTGTCACACAGTGGCCAAAACCCAGGTGGCACCAGGAGGTCCAGTGGCTCTTCTGTTGGCAAAGTGCCTGGATCCACCACAGTAGTCTTAAACCAACTCAATGACTCCTGAATTCTTTTGATGCCTGGGTAATGAAAGTATTATGATAGTATCACTTCACTCTGCTCTGCTGAGAGAGACCTCATTTGGAGTACTGTGTTCATTTTGAGGCATCACAGTTTAAGAAGGATGCTGACAAGCTGGAACGTGTCCAGAGGAGGGCGACAAAGATAGTGAGGGTGCTGGAGACCAAGTCCTATAAGAAAAGGTTGAAGGAGCTGGGTATGTTTAGCCTGGAGAAGAGAAGGCTGAGAGGTGATATGACAACCATCTTCAAGTACTTGGAGGGCTGTCATGTAAAGGATGGAGCGGAGTTGTTTTCTGTTGCCCCAGAAGATCTGACCAGAACCAACGGACTGAAATTAAATCAAAAGGGTTTTCAGAATGGTTCCTCAGTGGGACAGGCTTCCTCGGGAGGTGGTGGGCTCTCCTTTGGAGGTGTTTAAGCAGAGGCTAGATGGCCATCTGACAACAATGCTGATTCTGTGAATTTAGGCAGATCGTGGGGGGGGGCAGGGACGGAAGACCCTGTGCTTGCCTCTTGTGGCCCTTCCTGACACGCCCAGGGTAATGCTGACTGCCACTGTGGGGTCAGCAAGGGTCATTTCGTAGAAAAAGAGGTGCAGGAGCTCATTAGCATAACTCATTAGCATAACTCATTTGCATATGCCCCACCCCCTGACATCACCGGAAATGTGTCAGAAGGCAACACCCACCGCTCAATCTCCACTGGACTGTTTTGGATTGCTAGCTATGGGGGGGGGGGCGACATGCAGATCTGTCCTCACAGAGGAGGGAGAGCTTGTACCTGAATAAAACTTGGTCTTAAAGGTCCCACTGGACTGTTTTGGGCCGGGGGCCCCGGGGGGGGAGCTCTGCAACCTACCTAGCTGCTTCTTGCTCAGACCGAGGGCTGCTGGGAGCAGGGGGTGGGGCTTATTGCATGTGCCCGCCCCCTGGGCTCTTTACTGCCGGAGCTCCGCTCCTGTGCGCTCTTGCAGGAAATGACCCCTGGAAGTCAGGAAGGAATTGTACTCCAGGCCAGATTGGCCCAGGGATCCTGGAGGGTTTTGGGGAGGTTTTTTGGTCTTCCTCTGGGCATACAGCAGGGGGCACTGGGGGAGTGGGGGAGGAGGTAGCCATGAATTCCCTGCACAGGTCTCTTCCAGCTCTACATTTCTGTGAGTTGTCCCTGGGAATACGATACTTACCCTATAATCTGTGATGAGTCCTGCAAGTAAAAAACAGAAAAGAGACAATGATAACATGTATAAACATACAGTCGCTAGAATGCCACTGTTCAGGCGGCCCAGGCCTTGAAGCGCCCAGGCTGGCAGAAGGCCACGTGAAGTGTGGTGCGGTCATCCCAGGGAGGACATTGGGAGAGATCACCACCACTGATGCTCTGCAAGGCCTTTTGCACTTGGTAGCCTTTAAGATCTGCTCCACACTGCCGGAAACTCCTCGATGTGAAGCATTATTTCCTATACTACAGTCATTCATTCATTTTATTACGGTCAGAGACCCATAGAATAGCATACAGAACAAAAGCAAAAAGCATTACAGAGAAGAGATATCATGAGGAACATTGAGGAGGAGCTTACGCTTTGTAAATGCAATAAAGAGAAATTTGGCAACATTCCTTGATATTGCAATGGATTTGTCCTCCAATAGATGTTTCAGCAAAAGTTCCTCAGAGTGGATTACTAATTGTCCTTGGTGTCTGAATGACCTTATTATAGGTGTAATTAAAAGGGCTCTTTCTTCTGCATAGTAGGAACACTGGAATAATATATGGGAGAGGGTCTCAATTGACTCGGAGGGGCATGAGCATAATCTCAAATGCCTAGGGATGCGTTGAAATCTTCCGGCAAGAACTGCCGATGGAAAAGTGTCAAATCTAGCTCTGGAAAAAGCCCATCTATGATTTGGGTTGGGAATATTGGCTAAATATAAAGGAGCAGTCATATAAATTTTGGGTTTCAAAGATTTGTAAAGAGGCGAAAGTACAGCATAGGATGTTTGCTGCTCAATATCTCTGAGACGTTGGTGAACGATATTTTTTGCCCTATCGTATCCACTTTCCAGCTATACTACAGTGTTCTCCACGTATTTATTTATTTAGTTAGGGCTGAAGCCAGTTTGGTGTAGTGGTCAGGAGCGCGGACTGACTCTAATCTGGGAGAACCGAGTTTGATTCCCCACTTTTCCACATGCAGCTGCTGGTGTGACCGTTGGGCAGTCACAAGTTCTCTCAGAGCTGTTCTCTCATGAGCAGTCTTCGAAAGAGCTCTCTCAGCCCCACCGACCTCACAGGGAGGGGAAGGGAGATTGTAAGCTGCTCTGAGGCTCATTCGAGTAATGAAGGGCAGGGTATAAATCCAGTCTCCTATTATTATTATTCTCATCCATTTATACCCTGTCTTTCTCCCCAATGGGGACCCAAAGCGGCTTACCATGCAGGCCCACCCTTCCACTGCATCAGGAGCTTTGCAAGCCCCAATACCAGATTCACTTTGGCCCCGGTCACATGAAGAATTTGCTGCACGAAAGGCACAAATGTCGGGTGGATTTTCGGGGCGTGATCACACCACAACATCTGGGAAGCACAGCGCAACCCGTGGCATCCCGCCGAAGATGCGGAGTTAAAAAGTACCAAGGAAAGTGCACTAGTATCCGAAAACGCGTGGCAAAGGCGGGCGTCTGATCGCAGGAGCGCTATTATCCCGTGGCATCCGGCGCCCGTCCACATCCCAACACAAATAAGCTCTTGGAGGATGGGCTACATTAGGGTTACGTCAGCCAGGGCTCTCTTTGTAGCAGAAACTCCTTTGCATATTGGGCGACACCCCCCCTAATGTAGCCAATCCTCCAAGAGCTTACAGTAGCCCCTGTAAGAAGAGCTCTGTAAGCTCTTGGAGGATTGGCTACATTAGGGTTACAGAAATCAGGGCTCTCTTTGTAGCAGGAACTCCTTTGCATCTTAGGCGACACCCCCCCTAATTTAGCCAATCCTCCAAGAGCTTACAATAGCCCCTGTAAGAAGAGCTCTGTAAGCTCTTGGAGGATTGGCTACATTAGGGCTGTGTCGCCTAATATGCAAAGGAGTTCCTGCTACAAAAAGAGCCCTGCGGACTGACCCCCTCCCCAGCCTAAATGCTCCCACGTTCTCGTTAGGAAATACAAATCCGGGATCATACAGTTGCAAAGGTGGCATCTAGTTCACCCTCCATACAGTCCTAGGGACATATGACTTCCAGTTATCCATTGCTTTTAAAGGCTCCCCAGCAGATTAGCGTGCATAAAGCTGTACCAGAATCAGAACCTCCAATGAGCCATTGAAAACCGCCATTCCATCTCCCTGATACTGCTCCTTTAATGGCTGCCAGGTTGACGCAAACTATTGAGGCAACTGGCAGTGAGGTACATAAGAGAAGCCTTGTTGGATCAGGCCAATGGCCCATCCGGTCCAACATTCTTGTGCCACACAGTGGCCAAAACCCAGGTGCCATCAGGAGGTCCACCAGTGGGGCCAGAACTTCAGAAGCCCTCCCACTGTGGCCCCCCCCAAGAGCCACAAGTACAGAGCATCACTGCCCCAGACATAAGAATGTAAGAGAAGCCATGTTGGATCAGGCCAGTGGCCCATCCAGTCCAACATTCATGTGTCACACGGTAGCCAAAACCCAGGTGCCATCAGGAGGTCCACCAGCGGGACCAAAACTCCAGAAGCCCTCCCACTGTTGCCACCCAAACACCAAGAAGACAGAGCATCACCACCCCAGACATCGGGTTCCATCTATGCCAGAGGTGTCAAACTCATTTGTTACGAGGGCCGGATCTGACATGAATGTCACTTTGTTGGGCTGGGCCATGGGTGCCATAAAACATAATGCTAGGTACCAGAGATATAAACTGCAGCAGCTGATAAGCTCCGAGTTGGTGTATCCTCACGGCAAGGCCCCATGGGCCGGGAGGGGCATGCAAAGGAAAACCAGTATGGGTGGACTGGAGAGCCAGCAGTGCAGCACGGGGCAGACGCTCCCACGCTGCTTGACTGCTGCAGGCAAAGTTGTTCTGCCATGCTGAAGCCACAATCGGAGTGGCTCCACCCACTCCCCCCCGAGCATTCTCCTGTTCCCTCCCTCGCACTAGTTGCTTGCGGGCCGCATAAGAGCCCTGGAGGGGCCGGTTCTGGCCCCCGGGCCTTATGTTTGACACCCCTGATCTATACCTTGTGGCTAATAGCCACTGATGCACCTCTGCTCCACATGTTTCTCCGATCCACTCTTGAAGCTGTCTGTGCCTGCAGCCGCCACCACTTCTTGCAAGCATAATTGCAGGTTGCGAAAATGGGCATCTAATGATCTACGAGTACTGCCTCGGAAACAAGCTGTACGGCAGAATGCCACCAGCTATTATAAGCTTCACACTCCCATCTCTGGGGTACCCTGGACGAGCTAGCATATGTGGCCTCTATAATACGGCCTAAAGCAGCATCCACCCCGGGCTACCAAATGACTGTTATCTTTGGCCTGCCGGGAAGTCAAGCACAATTGCCCGGATGCGAGCCTGCAAATTGACACAAAATTATAGTTCCAGACAAAATATGGATCTGTGTCCCCGTCCGCAGCGGAGTTAATTGCCAGGCAATTGGCAGGCACGGGGCAGGCCAACAACCATGCCCCCCCCCACGCTTGTGTTTACAATCCGGAGTGACAGGAAAATGGCTTCCAACACGGCAACTTTGTCAGATTCTCTGGCACCTGGAATCAGACCCTGCCGCCATACCCAGGACCAAGGCTCCCTCTAAGCTGTGGAGTCTTGTGAGCAAACATTCTACTTTGCGAGCTCCTGGCATTCAAGCTGTGAGCGAGCAATTTGGCTACTGAAGAAGAAGAAGAAGAAGAAGAAGAAGAGATTGGATTTATACCCCGCCCTTCACTTGGAGTCTCAGAGCGGCTTACAAAGTCCTTTCCCTCCCCCTCCCCACAACAGACACCCTGGGAGGTGGGTGGGGCTGAGAGAACTCAGACACAAACTGCTCTTTTTCAAGGACAGCTGTGCCAGAGCTTGTGACTGACCCAAGGTCACATCAGCAGGTGCAAGTGAAGGAGTGGGGAATCAAACCCGGTTGTCCCAGATTAGAGTCCGCGCACTTAACCACTACACCAAACTGGCATAAATTAGTTTGCTCTGGAGCCCTCCTTCCTGAGCGAAGGCAAAAATGGGTGAGCCGGAGGCTAAGAAACTGTGAGCTCGCCCACCCTAACTCAGCTCAGAGGGAACGCTGCCCAGAATGCTCCTCTGTCTTTGTAGATGTTTTCTGTCTCTCTCCACAGGGTAGAGACGGAGGGGAACTCTGACCGAAGGGACTGGGATGAATTAAACACTAGCCTTTTTCCTGGGGCGAGGAGAAATTTACAAGAACTCATTCACAAAGACAGATAGGCACAGCTCTTTGTAAGAATTTTTTTTTGAAAGGGTAAACAAAGGTGATCCTGTAAACATCTGGATCCTGAGGGAAGGGATGGTGCAAACAATAAGGAGAAGTACCATTTTGAAAAAGGTGAAATTTATTCAGAATAAAATAAGCATTGCCAGTCAAAAACTATTTTCAAGTTAGCCACACAATATATGATTTAAAGGTATCTTACCCGATTCTTGATGGTCGTGCTTCAGGTACACAGGGTCTATCTTAAAGGCACAGGTTAAATCTGTTCTCTTCTTCACCCTGAACAAATATTGAAGACAAATAGTTTGCCAGTGCCTTGCTTTACCTCAGAATTCAACAACTTCAGTGGTGGTTGGAAATCGGGCTGCAATTTTAATCCATTTAATTGGTAAATCGGTGAACTAAAGCCCTGACAGCGGATAAAAATTCTACACAGACACAGGGATACAATTGAAGGGCCCACCTCCATAAACCTCACATAAACATAGCAACTTCTACCTTAAGAACATCATAAGAGAAGCCAATTTTGGATCAGGCCAATGGCCCATCCAGTCCAACACTCTGTCACACGGTGGCCAAAAATACCAGGTGCCATCAGGAGGTCCACCAGTGGGGCCAGGACACTAGAAGCTCCTCCAAGCTTGCCCCAGACAAAGAGTTCCTATCTATACCTTGTGGCTCATAGCCACTGATGGACCTCTGCTCCATATGGTTATCCAATTCCCTCTTGAAGCTGTCCATGCTTGTAGCCGCCACCACCTCCTGTGGCAGTCAATTCCATGTGTTAATCACTCTTTGGGTGAAGAAGTACTACCTTCAAGTACCAGATTTTATGAGGAAAAAGCCCTTAATGATAAACATTTTTCTTATTTCCATAATAAGTGTATATTTTACTAGTTTCCCCCTCAAATATATTTCTGCTGTGATGAAACTTGGGCCGCAAGACACACCTGCATAATGTTACCAGAATCTAGGCTCTAACCCTCCTCCCAAGCACACAGTTTCTGCAAAAAGAACATGGAGACCGTGGTTGTGGGAAGCACTGTACGAGGAGATTGCTGATTAGGTTCCATGCTTGCTTACCACATTGTAGAACAGTCAAAGTTCACCAGAAGCCATTTGTGTGGGTTGAAGTTAAAGGAATCTGCAAACTTAAAAATGAGAGTGTGTTGGGGTTTTTTTTAATTACACATTCTTCAATGGGCTAGAGAGGCATTCTTGGTCAAATGTTTGAATATTATCTCGTAAAATTTAACATCCACCCAATGTTAGTTCTCTTTTAGGCATCATAAACTTAGGGTTGCCAGGTCTGGGTTGGAAGATACCTGGAGACTTTGGGGGTGGATCCGGGAGAGGGCGGGGTTTGGGGAGGGGTGGGGCCTCAGCATGGTCACAATGCCATATAGAGTCCACCCTTCAATGCAGCCATTTCCCCCAGGGGAGCTGATCTCTGTCGGCTGGAGATCAGTTGTAAAGGCGGGAGATCCCCAGGCCCCACCTGGAGGCTGGCAACCCTACATAAACTTCTTACATTCCTAAAAATCAGCATCAAAAGGACCACACTCACAACGCATGGAACAGCTTTGGAGTAACTTCTCAGGCCATGATCTAAAGAGCCATCCTGCTCACTCCACATGCCCAAGGGTTGCAGAGCCCCCACCCCCATAGCAATCCAAAACAGCCCAGTGGCACCTTTAAGGCCAAGTTTTATTCAGGTACAAGCTCTCCCTCCTCTGCAAGGACAGATCTGCACATTCCCACCCCCCCAATAGCTAGCAATCCAAAACAGTCCAGTGGAGCCTGAGCGGTGGGTGTTGCCTTCTGACACACTTCCGGTGATGTCAGGGGGTGTGGCATATGCAAATGAGTTATGCTAATGAGCTCCTGCACCTCTTTTGCTACGAAATGACCCCTGGTAATGGTTGATAAATGTCCACAGAGCACAGTCGCTGAGAGATGTGGCGACGGACCGCCCAGGTTCCCATCCGTTTCCTTTCAGGACTTCGTCAGGCCACACCTCCAGTGAAGGAGCACCAGGCTCTACAGATTTCTCTTGACTGTATACAGCAGTCGATATCTGTTCCAACCGGCTTGCACCCAACATGTCTCGCCAACTATAATGCTCATCTCTGCTCTCCACCTTTTTGTTGGAGGCAAACAGACGCCAGCTGCTTCTGCACGGCAACAGCGCTCTTTTGTGGACTCGCTGCCATACAGCGTCCATGCCGTTCAGCTTGGGGGTTTCCTTTCCCCGTTCCCTGCTGCCGGCCATTCCCACCACCACCACAGACGACTTTGTTGCCAGCATTTTTAAAAAAAAATGGAGGTCGAAAGCGCCATTAAGTTGCCGCTGCCTAATGGCGACCCCATAGGGTTTTCAAGAGAAGAGATGTTCAGAGGAGGTTCGCCATTGCCTGCCCGGACTTCCTTGGAGATCTCCCATCCAAGGGCTAACCAGGACCGACCCTGCTTAGCTTCCAAGATGGGGCTCGCCTGATGAAGCCTTTTTTGTTTTTTCCCGAAAAATTGGAAACATTGAAAAAAGAAAAGAAAAGGAAAAAAAATTGATTATGGAACATTTTATTTTAACATGATGAATAAAATATTTTAAAACAAGGTGTTCAAATATTTTCCAAATTATTTCTTAAAAATATGTATGGTATCAGATTGATCTAATTTCTGTGCACGGAGGAAAAGCAAATCCTAGGTTACAGATTGAAGTCTCCAATGCAAGAACAAGATGCATTTCTTCCTTTAGGAGGTGCTATTGTCAGAAGAAAAGAAAAAGGTTTCAGTTTTGTTTTTGCATGTGGGAGGGTTTTCTGTTTGTAATAATTGTTTGGATGCACTATATTTTTAATATGCTAATTGTGATAATTTCATGCCAAGTAAAAAACTCCATAGTCATATTTTATGTTCCTAAAGTAACAGAATGACTTTCAATCTGGAAAAGACAAAAGAAATGCTAATGTAGCATTTTTTTTCCATTTTTCTGAAATTTCCGATTTTTTCCGGGGGGAAATGGAAAAAAACGGGTTTTTTTCCGAGCTTCAAAATTTCCGGAAATTTTACATCTCTACACCTGACTTAGGTTACTTTTGGGATTTCTGAAAATACCTCAAGAAGTAACGGCACAGAGTTCCGGAACACCAGGCTTTTCTCTGTTTCCCAGCAAAAACAGGGAAACTGCAACAGCTTCCCTTGTTAAGTTCTTTTGTGAGAAAACACTGAATTCGGAGAGGTGGGGAAAAACCCCATATGGCTCCCGTAAGAAATCTATTCAAACCCTGTTGAATGGTTGCTACGCTGGAAGATGCTAGAACACAACGGCGGACAGATGATTCATTTCCTTCAGGAGCCAATAAAACCCCACACAGGAAATTGCAAGAACGCTTTGTTTGCTGATTAAAAAAAAAATGAAAAAGAGGGATGCTTTTTCTCCCCGCATTTTCTTTATCAGCCCCCGCCCAGTGGCGCTCTTTAGGATTTGGCTTTCGTCAAACAGCAATATTTCCTCTCTCCTGACATGGAAGACGAGGAGTTTATCCGGCAGCCCGGGGGGAGAGTCAGGAAATTACGCTGCCCTTATCTGACCAAGCACGCTGGCTAGCGAGTGTCGAGCTGCATGGCATATTGGAAAAAAAGAAAGTCAACAGAATATTTTTGAACTAATGTGCCTAATAGGTTAGACAGAACAACACTCCCTCATTCTGTAGCAAAGGTTATCCTTTTTTCTTCTTTGAGATGCATGTTCCTTACTTTTCAAAATCAATGCAGGCAAGAACGGTTTATCTACATAGACACCCAAAGAGGGCAAAAAGAATTTTTCTTGCAGCTTCATCGCTAGGGTTGTCAGCCTCCAGGTGAGGCCTGGGGATCTCTCAGAATTACAGTCGATCTCCAGACAATGGAGATTTGTTCACCTGGAGAAAATGGCTGCCTCGGAGGGCGGACTCTATGGCATTCTTCCCTGCGGAAGTCCACCCCCCTCACCAAGCCCTGCCCACCCCAGGCTCCATGCCCCAAATCTCCATGTATTTCCCATCCGGGAGTTGGCAGCTCTACACCTCGATCATTCTTAAGCTTGTATCCACACATTCTTGGATAGCGCATGATAGTCGTCGCCAGGGCTCATTTCGTAGAAAAAGAGGTGCAGGAGCTCATTAGCATAACTCATTAGCATATTTGCATATGCCACACCCCTTGGCATCACCGGAAGTGTGTCAGAAGGCAACACCCAATGCTCAGGGTCCACTGGGCTGTTTTGGATTGCTAGCTATGGGGGGGGAAGAACGTGCAGATCTGTCCTCATAGAGGAGGGAGAGCTTGTACCTGAATAAAACTTGGTCTTAAAGGTGCCACTGGACTGTTTTGGACTGGACTATTTTGGACTGGGGGGCCGGGTTCTGCAACTTACCTGGCTGCTTCTTGCTCTAACCGAGGGCTGCTGGGAGCAGGGAGTGGGGCTTGTTGCATGTGCCCGCCCCCTGGGCTCTTTACTGCCGGAGCTCCGCTCCTGTGCGCTCCTGCAGGAAAGGACCCCTGGTCGTCATTAACAGCGGGTAGTTTCCGAGGGTAGGCGTGTTGGTTCCCAGTAGAACAGCTCGATTTAAGTCCAAGGGACTCGTCAAAGGGAGCGTTCACTCTCGAAAGCTCACACTCCCAAAATTTTATTGCTCTCTAAGGTTAACGGCACGTTTTTCCTTTGTGGGATGACAATCCAGTTGTGGACAATGGGTACTTACTGGACAAAGGAAAGTTAATTCCCAGGATTGTGGGATCACCATGTGGACTACTAGTCACATGGTTCAGGTTGCTGAACTGGAGAGTGGCTGGGAGTGGAGTCACCCTTCCACCTCTTCCATCAGCACAGTTTGGCTGCCGCTTCATGTGGCTATGAGTCCCTTCAGATCTCACTATTCCAGGAATAACCTTTCTCAAGGTCAGAAAGAGCAGCTGTTTCGTGGGGGGATGTGGGAAAGATCACTCTCTCTCTCACGGATCACTGCCTTGACGTGGCAAGGGGGCTTACGTGGTGTGATGAGGCTGCAGGCTATGCCATGGAGGGCCACCCGGGACGGACAGGTCACAGCGGAGAACTCAGACGAAACGTGATCCGCAGGAGAAGGAAATGGCAACCCACTCCAGTATCTTTGCCAAGAAAACCCCATGGACAGTAACAAAAGGATAAAATATATGACCCCGGAAGATGAGCCCCTCAGGTCGGAAGCACTGTTCCCTCTAAGCTGAGTTAGTGTGAGCTAGCTCACAATTTTTTAGCCTCTGGCTCACACGTTTGTCTTAGCTCAGGAAACATGGCTCTAGAGCAAGCTGATTTATGCAGCAGGCAAATCGCTCGCTCACAACTTTAATGCCAGTAGCTCACAAAGTAGAATTTTTGCTCACAAGACTCCACAGCTTAGAGGGAAGGTGTCCAATATTCTACTGGGGAAGACCAGAGGGCAAGTACAAGTAGCCCCAGAAAGAGTGAAGCGGCTGGGCCAAAGCCGGAAGGACGCTCAGCTGTGGATGTGTCTGATGGTGAAAGGACAGAAGGGCCTGGCGTGATGTGGTCCATGGGGTCACAAAGAGTCAGACTCGACTGTGCGATTGAACAACAACAACAACAGGAAAAATCTGAGACCATCAGCACCTTCCTCTGAAAGATTGCTGGATCCAACCCAATTGCTACAGGACGAGGAGGAGAGGAGGAGAGGAGATTGGATTTATACCCCGCCCTTCACCACCCAAAGGTGTCTCAGAGTGGCTTACAAACTGCTTTCCCCTCCCCTAACTGGCTCTTAACCACTACACCAAACTTAACCACTACAGCCCAATAACCATGCAATATTCAACAAAGTATGGATGCATCCTTAGTAGAGGGAGATTCAGAGCAGATATCTGAAAGTTACCATCTTTCATGGAAAGCATACAGAGGACTTTCATGCTCTATGAGCCACTCACAATATATATGAGCATGGATGGATGGCACCAAACGGCCAGCAACAATGCAAAATCACAGCAGCCAACAGAATCTGTCCACAAGGTTCCCCCTATCCCCAGACACTATTCCAGGTCTACCACTGCATGTTTTACTGAACATACCTGCAGCTTCCTCTCTCAGTAGGGCTTCTCTGCACTGGTCAATTTCGTTGCTTGTGTGTACCTGTTGCCTTGGAGTGTACATGTGTGTTCCACATGTTTATGCTCCCTCTAATGGTCGATTTGATATTACACAGCTTTGTGTCCGGCATAAAAGGTAAAGGTAAAGGTTTCCCTTGCTCGAAAGTCAGTCGAATCCGACTCTAGGGTTGTGGTGCTCATCTCCGTTTCAAAGCCGAAGAGCCAGCGCTGTCCGAAGACGTTCCCGTGGTCATGTAGCTGGCATGACTAAACACCAAGGCGCACGGAACACTGTTACCTTCCCACCGAAGTAGTCCCTATTTATCTACTTGCAATTTCTTGCTTTCGAACTGCCTGCAGTTTAAATCTGCAGGGAGATATGCCAGACATGAAGGGGTGTAATACTGAATCAACCACTAGAGGGAGTGAAACACATACAGATAGGGGTGTGCATTCAGGTCTACCCGAACCAAAAATATACCCAAAAAACACCTTTTCAGTATTTTTCGGGTATATTTTGGGTTCCCAAATGTATATGGGATTTTTCAAGAGAACAAAAAAACAACCCCCCAAAAAAATCCCAGATATATTCAGGAATTACCAGCAAAACTGGGCTGCCCAGCAGAGGCCCAGCAGAGCCTGCGGGGAGAGCTTGGCGAGCTCTGTTGGGCAGTCCAGTTTAAAGGGGCCACCCAAAAGAGTCCCAGCTGAGCCACCTCTCAGCTGTTTGTAGCAGCTTTACCGCTGGTCTTTTCCCCCTCTGTGTTTTTCAATTTGGGTCTATTGGACAAAAAAAACCCCAACCCTGGGATTTCCAAAAAATTCCAGATCCAAATACTTTACCAGTCTTGGGAGCCAGGTTTTTTGGGAATCCTGCAATTTTTTCAGGTACAAGAGACCCGAACTGAAAAATACCGAGGAAAAAACCTGCACACCCCTACATGGAGAAAAAAAACACTACCACCAAAACAACTGGAACACACGAGCAACAGAAATGAGAATGCAGGAAAGTCCTTCTATCCATCCCTTAATATCTGTGCTTCTCTCTTTCTGTCCACCTCTATAGAAACTTAGGGAGGAACTAAACACCCAACTATTTCATTTTGATTTCAGAGGACTGTTCCTTACTTCAACTCCGTTGAGAAGGTGGCGAAATTCAGGACAGATGAATGAACTCCCCGCATAGGCAGCGTCAATGTGCATCCAGATATTCTCAGCATTACCTATAAAACGAAAAATACTGTGAACGATTTTTCACTTAACCGAATGATCAGCATTGCAGGAGGAGTTTGCTGTCTGCAGAGTGTCTGTCTGTTTTTTAAAACTTTGCACTGCATCCCGATGTAGCCAAGCTGAAAGGCCTGGAAGCCACTGAGTCTTGAGAGTGCGGGCTGGGCTGGGGATCATCCAGGCCGGGGTATTCAGCAAATGCAGGGCCCACCCGCATGGTGCAACAAAGCCCCATTGAAACTAAAAGCCACATCCTAAGAACACTGTCCTGGGAGAAATTCCCACCGAATACAATGGGATTTACCTCTGAGCAGACCTGCTTAGGACCGATCCTGCAGAGCCAGGGGTACCCAACATGGCAACTGTGGGCATTCTGGTTTCTGCCAGCACCTTTTCTGGAACCAACCAAGTGTTTTTAGAAAGTGTGCCCCCCAAAACATGGAACTGGCCCTGGCCTGCTCTGACTGGCATGGCAAAGAGAGCCAATTTGGTGCAGTGGTTAGGAGCGCGGACTCTAATCTGGGAGAACCGAGTTTGATTCCCCACTCCTCCACAGGCAGCTGCTGGTGTGACCTTGGGTTAGTCACAGTTCTCTCAGAGCTGTTCTCTCAAGAGCAGGCCTCAAAGAGCTCTCTCAGCCCCGTCTACCTCACAGGGTGTCTGTTGTGGGGAGGGGAAGGGAAAGGAGACTGTAAGCCACTCTGAGACTCCGAATGAAGGGCAGGGTATAAATCCAGTCTCCTGTTCTTCTCTGTTCTTCTTCTTCTTTCCAGGGTCTTAGTAGGGTTTCACACCATCTATTGCCTGATCCTTTTCTACTGGTGACTGAACCTGTGACCTCCTGCACGCCAAGCAGAAGCATGACCACAGAGCCTCTAGAGCATTTGCTCTCCCAGCTTAGGGGAAGAGGCTTGAGCTGGATGCAGCACATGGGTAATAAGCAAACATTCATTGTACGAAAGCCGCTCAGGATAGTCAAAAGTATTTAAAATACTCAGAGTATCAATGGATCTTGCTCTATTGGAAAGAAGAGATTTCTTTGCTTTTAAAAACCTTTATTTCTAAGGGTAAAAGGTATACGGGGAACCTACAAAATAACAAAACTCCTAAGAGCTACATTTTCTAAGCTGCCTACGGTTCAACCATTCTTACACACTAACAACAGGTAATGGAGAATCTGTCCTTCTCGACCCCTAGAAAGGAAGTCACCTGAAACAAACAACCAATCTGTATCACAATGTAAGTTACTTTTCCCGGGCTAATCCCCCATTGGCTCTGTGCCAGGTTTCCCTTCCCGGTCAGTCCAAACAATAGCAATACTAGGTGAACGAGTTAACCCTATAATGACTGGATTGTCAGATTTACAGTGGCCGAGAGTTCCACTGGCTTCTCGGCCAGGAACCTAGCCCCCTGATTGAAGCGGGCTAGGATCCTCATAGTCCATTGTCTCTAGGAGCGATGCTCACGGTTGTCCCTGGACATGTCTGGACTTGTCCGGACTTGTCCGGACTTGTCCGGACTTGATACACTACACCTTGTAAACACATACATTTCCAACAAGGAGGATTCTTCAGCCCGCTGAAATTCACCACCAGAAAGCCTGCATGTGCTGTTGAAAAGATGTCAAGACAGCACGCTGTGGCCTCCCCTGGAAACAAAGGGGCAGCTACTCCACAATCAGCGTGGCCATCGATAGTGAACTCAGAGATAAAATCAACAGACTTACACATCGGGCCCAGTTCCGGGAGTTTGTCGAAAGAGCAGCACGTTGTGGTTCCAAGGGTCGCGCAGAACTGTCGAACCAAAAACAAAAGCCAAAATGGAAAAATAAATCGGATGGCGTCGGAGTCAGCAGGCCACTTGTTGCGTACTTCCAGAGGGCACAAAACCAGGCCCCGTAAGCTATGTGAGCAGCCCAAGGGAGTCAAGAGAGAGATCTTGGAGTTGTAGTAGATAACTCACTGAAAATGTCGAGACAGTGTGTGACTGCAATAAAGAAGGCCAAAGCTATGCTGGGGATTATTAGGAAGGGTATTGAAAACAGATCAGCCCATATCATAATGCCCCTATATAAATCAGTGGTGCGACCTCATTTAGAATACTGTGTGCAGTTCTGGTCACCACACCTTAAAAAGGATATTATAGCTTTGGAAAAAGTGCAGAAAAGGACAACTCGAATGATAAAAGGGTTGGAACACTTTCCCTATGAGGAAAGGTTAAAGCTCTTAGGGGTCTTTAGCTTGGAGAAACGACGACTGAGGGGTGACATGATTGAGGTTTATAAGATTATGCATGGGAAAGAGCAGGTAGAGAAAGAGGTACTTTTCTCCCTTTAAAAGCCGAAGAGCCAGCGCTGTCCGAAGACGTTTCCGTGGTCATGTGGCCGGCATGACTAAACACCAAGGCGCACGGAACGCTGTTACCTTCCCACCGAAGTGGTACCTATTTATCTACTTGCAATTTCTTGCTTTCGAACTGCTCGGTTGGCAGTTTAAACTGCAAACAGCAGTTTAACTATATATTTTTATAATACTACATCACGGCTGTTTTCATCATTGTCTGCATCCTTCCCGTGATCTCCTTGTTGTTTCTACATACACCACCTGGAGACTGGCAACTCTGCTTCAGGCCCCCAAACGAGAGCCGGTGTGTATGTGAGGAAGTTCAGTTGTATTCAATTCTGTAGCTGTCTGCGCGGCCTCAAACACCCCACCCCCCTCAGTACCAATTCCCAAAAGCCATTTCAGCTCGTGGCGTCTGCTGGCCTTTGAGCAGGGGGGAGGGGGAGGCGGTCATCTTATGCTTTGCCAGGCCTGGCCAATAACTCTAACCCAATTTGCAACCCATATTAGAACCGCGTAATCACATTTTGGAGCAGGGACAGGCGGCCCTCGCGAATGGAGCTGACAGCCCAGAGGAGCCCCTGGGGGCACGCTCCCCCTCAGACCGCAGCGTCTAAATA